ATTGTGGTTGTTGTCGTTGTTGCTTTTTTTTCTTCTTCTTATTTTTATTATCACTGTCATTATTATTATGATTGTCATTATTATGCCCTTTTTTGTTACCGATTTTGTTACCGTTACCGATGTATAATCATTCACGGTTTCAGATCGTCTCACTCCTCTAAAAATAATGGAAAAAGAAAAATGACCCATAAACCCCTTTGTTATTTTGTGCAATTGCAGAGTTTTAACTGACCTTGCAAATGACTCCTTGCGTTACCAGTTTCTCCGTTTCTTTGCAATTGCAGAGATGAAGATAAGTGATGATAGCTCTCTTTTCTTCTCCCTTTTTAAGCCTTGCAAATGTCACCTCTTGAATAGTCAGTCAGCCCCTTTGCAATTGCAAAATTGATAATAGACTGACGACTAAACTCCCTCCTTCCCTCCCCAGGCCTTGCAATGGATACCTCGAGGCTGCCAGTTTGTCTCTTTGCAATTCCATACGTCACCCCGAGCGCTGCCTGCCTCTCTTTATCTTTGCAATTGCAGACTTAATTGCTCCCCCCCCCTACCCCCAGGCCTCGCAGACGTCAACTCGAGCGTGGGAATCCTCTCCCAGAGTCTGACGTCACACATTCAACAGGACATCTTTCTCGAGCGAGGTGAGTCTCGAACGAAAAAAAAAATCTGATCAGTAAAATAACTTAAATAATAACAAGAATTAATCAACAATTTAAAAAATAAAGTTCTCGCTAGAACAGCGTTCCGAGTTTATGTTTCAAATTTCCCGCCGGGCAGCCTCCTCCAACCCCTCCCCTCCCCTCCCCCGGCAGACGAGGGTTGGAGGAGGAGGGGGAGGGAAGGGGGGGGAGGAGGAGGAGGCTGTTCGGCGGGAAATTTGAAATCGAAAACCGGAGGCTTTTTCCAGCTGGCGCTTCAAGCACTAGTTTCAATTATCTTTTACCATTAAGTTATTTTCCTGCATTGACTATTTATATCCTTTTTTGTTTTAATAATATACATTTTTTTTCCCTTGGGATATTGGCTTATCAATCGGTATGACATCCATATAACAAATATCATCTATGTATATTACATATACGTCTCTGAGCATTTCTTTGTGCATATTTATTCATCAGTTTATCTATAATTCGTTAAAAGGAACAAAATTCCCTAATACTGTGTTCAGGAAACTGCCAGTACGAAGTTAATTGACTGAGAGAAGAGGATCGAGAGGGAATATCATATTATATCTCTCTCTCGGTGTACAGACACACACTCCTGCACACACACACACACACGAGGAAAAAGAAAACGGTCACAATAAGAAATGAAACAACGACGTCACGTAACGAACACTTCACAAGTTCCTCTTCAGACGAATAATCATTTTGACAAGATTATATGGTGGCAGAGATAGAACGAGCAAGAGCTGAATGAGGTCTCAGGAGGGCCATGGTTCTACTATTAACGAGGAGGTTAGGTCACCCAAGCCCCAATGAAAAAACAAAACAAAAAAATAAAAAAAACAAAAAACACTCAACTTAGCACTCAAGTTAAACTAGGCAATTTTCTAATTAACAGAGCCTCTAACATTTTTCTTTCATCAGAATTAGTTTATTTATGAATTATTTTAGTGCATTTCCAGTGAACTTGTTGGCCTTCATCACGTAAATGAGCGAAACACGCATTTGATTCTCCGGCGTATCTAACATCATGTTTATGTTCATTAATTCTTTTCTCAAAAGCTCTACCGGTGTTGCCTACGTAAAACTTGGGGCAATCCTTACAAGGAATAGCGTAAATACCGTCTCAAGAGCACCGCTAGCCGCATTAAGCTTAACCAGTGTATTACGCGACGGTTTCGGATACGTAAAAACAATATCAAATATAATTTTTTTTTTTTTTTTTTTTTTAGAGAGGGACGGGTTGTACGGAATAATTAATAGATTACTGGCACTGTCCTGCTGTGTGTTCCGGAAATGAGTATATTTCCTTTTCGCATATGAATGTGCCGGATTTAAGAAAAAACGAGGATATCCTAATTTTGAAAACGTTTCAACATTGACGTCGCCCTCCCGATCGATGAATTCACTATCACAAATCCTATATGCCATAAAGAACATTGGCGAGACTACTGACGTATTTACATATATATATATATATATATATATATATATATATATATATATATATATATATATATATACATACACACACACACACACACACACACATATATATATATATGTATATATATACATATATATATATATATATATACATACACACACATATATACATGTCTGCGTGTTTTATTTCTGATACAATACCATACCTTTTCTCTTGGCACTCTGTCATAAGTCAACAGACAACACATCAGTAGTACTTTTCCGTGGCACGAAGCCTAACTGCTGGTCACTGATTACTACCTCATTTCTCAACCTAGCTTCCAGAGTTCTTTCCCGAAGATTCATGCTATAACTAATAAACTTTATATCTTTGTAATTATTACAACTCTGTG